AAAGCTGACATTGATGTGTCAGGACCCAAGGTGGACATTGAAGCCCCAGATGTCAGCATTGAGGGTCCAGAAGGAAAACTGAAAGGCCCCAAGTTCAAGATGCCTGAGATGCATTTTCATGCCCCCAAGATCTCCATGCCTGATGTTGATTTCAACTTAAAGGGACCTAAAATGAAAGGAGACTTCGATGTTTCTACCCCAAAGCTAGAGGGAGAGTTAAAGGGTCCATGCTTAGATGTCAAGGGCCCCAAATTGGATGTTGACATGCCAGATGTAGCTGTGGAAGGCCCTGATGGCAAATGGAAAGGTCCTAAATTTAAGATGCCAGATATGCATTTTAAAACTCCTAAAATCTCCATGCCGGACATTGATCTACACTTAAAAAGCCCCAAGATAAAGGGAGAAGTGGATGTAGATGTTCCCAAATTGGAAGGTGACCTCAAAGGTGGTATCGGTGGGCCAGATATTGACATTGAAGGACCAGAAGGCAAACTGAAAGGCCCGAAGTTTAAGATGCCTGACATGCATTTCAAGGCCCCAGATATTTCTATGCCTGATGTGGACCTAAATCTGAAAGGACCAAAAATCAAGGGGGATGTAGATGTGTCTGTGCCTGAGGTAGAAGGTAAAATGAAAGTACCAGATGTTGACATCAAGGGCCCCAAAGTAGACATAAATGCTCCTGATGTTCATGGCCCAGATTGGCACCTGAAGATGCCCAAAATGAAAATGCCCAAATTCAGCATGCCTGGTTTCAAAGCAGAGGGCCCAGAAGTGGATGTGAACCTGCCTAAGGCCGACATTGATGTCTCAGGACCCAAAGTGGATATTGAATGTCCTGATGTGAATATTGAAGGACCTGAAGGAAAGTGGAAAAGTCCAAAATTTAAAATGCCTGAAATGCATTTTAAGACTCCAAAGATATCCATGCCAGATATTGATCTTAATTTAACAGGTCCCAAGATAAAAGGAGATGTGGATGTCACAGGTCCCAAAGTAGAGGGAGATCTTAAAGGACCTGAAGTTGACCTCAAAGGCCCCAAAGTGGACATCGATGTCCCAGATGTGGATGTTCATGGCCCAGACTGGCACCTGAAGATGCCCAAGATGAAAATGCCCAAGTTCAGCATGCCCGGCTTCAAAGGAGAGGGCCCCGAAGTGGATGTGAACCTGCCCAAGGCCGACATTGATGTGTCAGGACCCAAAGTGGACATTGAAGCCCCAGATGTGAGCCTTGAAGGACCAGAGGGAAAGTTGAAAGGTCCTAAGTTCAAGATGCCAGAGATGAACATCAAAGCCCCAAAGATCTCCATGCCTGACTTTGATTTACACTTGAAAGGTCCTAAAGTAAAGGGTGATGTGGATGTTTCTCTGCCCAAAGTTCAAGGTGACCTCAAGGGCCCTGAAGTTGACATCAAAGGACCCAAAATGGACATCAGTGTCCCAGATGTAGACGTTCATGGCCCAGACTGGCACCTGAAGATGCCCAAGATGAAAATGCCAAAGTTCAGCATGCCCGGCTTCAAAGGAGAGGGCCCTGAAGTGGATGTCAATCTGCCCAAGGCTGACATTGATGTCTCAGGACCCAAGGTGGACATTGAAGGCCCTGATATTAACATTGAAGGGCCTGAGGGAAAGTTGAAAGGTCCTAAGTTCAAGATGCCAGAGATGAACATCAAAGCCCCCAAGATCTCCATGCCTGACATTGATCTTAATCTGAAGGGCCCCAAACTGAAGGGTGATGTGGATGTGTCTTTACCAAAAGTGGAAGGTGAGCTTCAAGTT